TAAATTTATTATTTTGGTTTTCAGTGTAGGTTCATGGTTTTATGACACATGTAGTCAGTGTTCGACAATAACTGGACTTAATTCAGATATTTTTGATATTTTTTTATGTGTGTGTGTATACACCTCCCTAAACCCCCTCGCTTATTAAAGCAAAACCCCAAATTAACTAGTCTTAAATAATCGTGTTGTTCCTGCTGGATTCCATTGCTTTTCGCTACTAGTTACTGTGAGAAGGTTATAAACACCCATCATTTTTTAATACTACATGATTCCCTGCCTTCCCAGGATTTGGCAGCAATATTTCAATAATTTACTAATGACTTTCCTTTGGGTCATTAGAAGAAAAATGGTTCCTGTAGAAACAATTTGCTAAATAAATGATAGTGCAGAGACATTTTCCTGGAGGCTACAAAGTGACCTATTGAAATACACTAAATTGGTTCTTCTCCATTAGGACATTCAGATCCTTCTTTTATTTCATTTTGAAATGGAAGAATAAATGAGGAAAAATGTGCTCTGAAATCCTCTGTCCTCTTCAGAGCATGTAAATAGCATCATGCACACACAAAAATACCGAGCTGTCAGGAGTAAAACAAGTATGATCATTTAGGATAATTAAATGCTTAAGACAATTCAAATAGAACTGATGTGAGTAAGCTTTTCTCATTTGAAATAAATTTCCTTTAAAAAGGAGTTGCAGATTGACATATCTTTACAGTTAAAAATGTGACATAATAGTGTGGAATAGTTAAGTCTTCAAAAAAGTGAGCCCATTTATGCGTATGACAGGACAACTGGTGGTTGTTTTAAAGTAAGAAAAATGTAAATAGTTCACATACAAGGGTACCATTCATATAAAAATAGCAGAAACAAAAGTAAAAGATACATACAGAGAGGAAACTGGAAAGATACACACACCAAACTGCACTCAAATGTTCGCCATTGGAAGCTTTCATTTTTGCCTGCCTTTTATTTTCCCCCTACTAGGTCATGAACTTCTTTGTGGCCAAATCAAACTCTGGATATCCAGTTAAATTAGAATTTCAAATAATTTTTGTTGTTGTTATTGATGTGGAAACTCGCGCTAAAAGTTACGTGGGGCATGCTTGTACTAAAAAAGCTGTTATTGTTTGCCTGAAGTTCATTTTTTAAATGGAATCCCCATGAAATACAGTTACAGAGTTGTTCATGATTTGGTTCTAGTCAAACAATGCTTTAACACCCATTCCTTCACCAGTATACATTTTCCACCACGAATGTCCCTAGTTTCCCTTTCAACACCCCGAACCCCTCCCCCCCTCTATGCAGGTGGCAGGTATTCTCTCTCTCTCTCTCTCTCTCTCTCTCTCTCTCTCTCTCCCTCTCTCTCTCTCTCTTTCTCTCTGGGCACTAACATTTAACTGGTATTTTTATGTTTACTCAAAACTTTTTAAAATTTGCCACATCTGCCAATTCTATTTTAGGGAGACTTTAAAATGATTTATCCTTGGGTTCCTATCACTAACAGTTATATGAGACACAGTAAGTGCATAATAGACGGCAAGATGGAGAGTAATTAAGGAGAGCACAATAATAATTGTTCATTTTCTAAGAGTGATAAATTGTCTCAATTATCAGGGGAAAACAACCATTATTAAAAATAGCCCGATTTTATAGCTTTAGACACAGAGATATGTGGTTAGTGCGATAGGGTTAGTCACATAGTAAACAGGGATTTGATGGAATGAGAAACGAGCCTGAAAACAAACTTCTGGGTCCTGGTTCAGAAACCAACTACCAGTCAAGCTTGCAGGGTAGTAGAGGGCCGTAAGGGAGGACAGAGAGTTGGTGAGATTTTTTTGCTTCTGCCTAAATTGAGTAGAGCAGGATTTTGCATAGATTACTTAACCTTGCCTAAAGGTGGAATGTGGGATATTTATGAGTCAGACAAATCTGGACTGATCCACTCTTTTACGACTCACTTCAACGAGTTATATAATTTTTGCCTCGTTGTTTTTTTTTTTTTCAGTGATTAGGTCCTCCATACATATTGATATGAAGAATGAAAGTTAGTTTCTTTGAAATGATCAGTACTAGGGAACTTGACAGGTAAAATATTGTCAATGTTACTTATCCAGTTCCAATAGTTTTGTGTGTAAAACCGACAAAATAAAAGCAAGATGATGATTCAAACTACTGGTATCTCTATTGCCAAGTTAATTAGGTGATCAAAGGACAATACATATCACCCTTCTGAACTCTATAGTGCTTCTCAGTCTTCTTGACAGCCGCTGCTGTTTAGATCAGAACCGCAATTAATATCATGCTAGAGCACTACTACTCTTTTTTTCCCTATAAGAAATTAATTTTGTCTAAAAAGCTGTCATACACAAAACTGGCTTTTTTTTTGGTTTGCAAAGTTCTACAAATCTTAACACATGTATAGATTTATGTAACTACTATAGCACCACAGTCAGTATATATAATTTTGACATCCTACAGCTTCTGAGATTCCTTTTTCCAAAGCGTTTCACATTCACATTGCAGAACACATTTAAAAATAAGGGGGGAAAGGATTTAAATAAATCTGCTGAAGATGCAAATTAACGAAACTAGCTCTCTGCAAAAATCTGCAGTTTCGAGCTTCTCCGAGTCTTTTCTGGGCCAGTATTTTGCACTTGGCTCTGTAAACTCTCTTCCTTAGAGTAATCAGGTATGAACTTGAAAGCTGGGGCCTTTCTTCCTACTTAAAAGAACTTGTCGTGAACAGAAACTTCAGCATTCCTTATTTAATTCTTTCTGCGGGACTGAATCTTCACATTTCTCAGTCGCGTTTAACCGAATTGTCTTTTTTCTTTTTTTCCCTTTCAAATGAAGAAGCCTGGGAAAGTCAGCACTTTCTCCTGGTCTCAGGGCAGCTGTTTGACAGGGATTATGATGAGAGTTATTGAGAGAGCAAGGATAGACCTTTCGGGACACAAAGGTTCTGTTCTAACACATCCTCCCAGGAATCACTCAGTCGGTCGGTTATCTTTGCCGCCACTTGGACCACTTCTCCTCCTCCACCTCCGGGGTGTCCCCTGGGGCTACAGCCTTGAGTATTGGAACAGTATTGGTACTGTTCTTAGTGGGCACCTCCCTCCCACCCGGGGCCCCGCGACCCTCTCTCTCTGTTTCAGCGACTCGCGCTGCCACCCCGCGGCCACGTGTGGTGAGCGGGGCGGGTGCGCTTTCCGGGTGACTCACGTGGTTGTTATTTGCCTTTTGTTTCTAGGATGCTTTGGCGGCTGCTTTCCTCCTTCTGCTTTTCATTTTGGGAGGAGAAGAGCTAATGAATCCAGGATGGACCTTGTCTGCACGACTCTGTGATTCTTTTTTTTTTAAATTCCCCCCCCCCCCCCCTCCTAAAGTTGCCTGTCTCTAGCTTCACAAGTTCCCCCAAACAAACTATCCGCGAAGTGCGGGGACCGGGGGGCAGGTGGGCTTGCGTTCCTGACACCTCAATTTTGCAGCTCGGCTGGCAGACTAGAGCGACTTTCGGTCCGGAGAGACTTTCCGAAGCTCCCCTTTGCAGCCTTCTGGGCGTCTCGGCTGCTGGCTGCCACCGTCCACTTGACTTGCAGCAGCGCATTTCTTTCTGGTCCTGCTGCTGCTGCTGCTGCTGCTTCTCGCGGCTTTTGTCTGTCTGTCACGCCTGGACCGACCCCGTTCGTGCCCGCGGTGCCCGGATCAGGGCGAATTCCACGAGACTCGCCCGCGGTTCTGCTCCCGTGGCAAGGTAAACTGCAGTATGCAAAAAAAAAAAAAAGAGGAGCCGCCCAGGGGTGCGGGGCACAGGGGAGGGGTGGGGTGGGGATTCCTTCCCTCTGCAACCCTGGGCTCGCCGACTGCCCAGAGGAGGAGGAGGAGGAGGAGGAGGAGGAGGAGGAGGAGGAGGAGGAGGAGGAGGAGGAGGAGGAGGAGGAGGAGGGGGAGGAGGAGGAGGAGCGCAACCGGGACTGGCCACCCCCTCCACCAGCGTCCCCTTTGCAATCCCTCCCGCCGCCGAGGCCCGGCCCTCCCCTGCCCACGCCCCCACCCCCGGCTGGGTTTTTTTTTTTTTTTTTCCCCCTTCCACTGGGCCCGGGTGCGAACAGAACTCGGAGTTGCGCTCGGAGGTGCGCGGGCGGCGGGAGCGCGCCAAGGGGCGGCGCCGGGCCCTGCCCACCGGGGCTGGACGGTGCCGTAGGTCTCCGCTTTGTTCCGCGGGCCTCGGCGGACCACCCCACCCCACGCGGCGGCGGTCCCGGGGGCGTGGGCCGGCGGCGACCGTGGGAGGGACGTCCCGGCGCCCAGAATCCCCGGGGCTCTCGGAGACCTCAAAGGACACTCGGGTAACCCGAAACTTCCCGGTCCGCCGCGGCCCGGGAGGGAGGGAGAAGTTGGGCGGGGAGGAGGCTGGGAGCGCGCGCGCGCGCGGGGACGCACGCGTGTCCAGGGACCCCCGCGGGGTGGGAGCGGACGGGCCGGGGTCTCCGGACCGAGGGACGCCGGGCGCCGGGTTTTCCGGACGCGCGCGCATCTCCCGGGTAAGGCGGTCCGGGGGGACGGGGGTGGTGGACCGGCGGCGGCCAGGCCCGGCTGGGCTGTGCCTAGGACGGTCCCGGGGATGCCCGGGGACCAGAGGGCTGGCCGGACGCAGGGTCCCCTTCGGGAGCTGGGTGGGGGGCGCTGGGGGCTGCAACCGGCGCGCGCCTCGAGCGCCCTTTCTCTCTCTCCCCACTTGTCCAGGTCGCGCAGCGGATCCCCTCGTGGCGCCAACAAAAGAGGCCGACGGAGGTGCCCTTCGGGGGGCGGCGAGCGCAGCGCCCGGACCGGACGGAGGGGGCCGCGCGTGGGCCGCGCCCCGCTCCTCGCTCCCCGGGGGTGGGGGGGTCTCCCGCGAGGAAAGTTCGCACCCGACGCTCGGCGACCCCCGCCCCCACCCCGCGGGCGCCGCCCCCCGGGCCCCGCTCCGCTCGGGGGACCGGAGTCGCGCCGCGATGCCAGGGGCGTGCGCCCGGGGCCCCGCGGCGGGCGACGGGCGGCTGCGGCTGGCGCGGCTGGCGCTGGTGCTCCTGGGCTGGGTGTCGTCGTCGTCGCTGCCCTCCTCGGCGTCCTCCTCGGGCCCGTCGGGCTCGCCGCTGGCCCCCGCGGCGTCCACCCCGCCGCCGCCGCCGCCGCCGGGCCGCTGCCCCGCGCGCTGCGAGTGCTCGGAGGCGGCGCGCACGGTCAAGTGCGTGAACCGCCAGCTGCAGGAGGTGCCCGCCGACCTGCCCCCCTACGTGCGCACCCTGTTCCTCACGGGCAACCGGCTGGCCACGCTGCGGCCCGACGCCTTCGCCCGCCGCCCGCCGCTGGCCGAGCTGGCCGCGCTCAACCTGAGCGGCAGCGGGCTGCGGGAGGTGGAGCGCGGCGCCTTCCAGCACCTGCCCGCGCTGCGCCAGCTCGACCTGAGCCACAACCCGCTGGCCCGCCTGAGCCCCTGGGCCTTCGCGGGCAGCAACGCCAGCCTCGCGGCCGCCAGCCCGCTGCTGGACCTGAGCCTGAGCCACAGCGCGCCGCCCGCCGCCCAGCTGCAGAACCGGAGCTTCGAGGGCATGCTGGCCGCGGCCCTCCAGGCCGGCCGCGCGCTCCGGGGCCTCCGGCGCCTCGAGCTGGCCGGCAACCACCTGCTCTACCTGCCCCGGGACCTGCCGGCCGCGCTGCCCGAGCTCCGGCACCTGGACCTGCGCAACAACACGCTGGTGAGCCTGGCGCACGTGCCCTTCGGCGACCTCACGCACCTGGAGAGCCTGCACCTGGAGGAGAACGCGCTCAAGGTGCTGCCCAACCGCACCCTGGCGCAGTGGCAGGGCCTGCCGCGCGCCAGGGTCTTCCTGGACGGCAACCCCTGGGTCTGCGACTGCCAGATGACGGACATGGTGGCCTGGCTCAAGGAGACCGAGGTGGTGCCCGACAAGGCCCGGCTGGCCTGCGCCTTCCCGGAGCCCCTGAGGAGCCGCGCCCTGCTGGACCTCGACGGCGCCGACCTCGACTGCGACCCGATGCTGCCCCCGTCCCTGCAGACGTCCTACGTCTTCCTGGGCATCGTCCTGGCCCTGATCGGGGCCATTTTCCTCCTGGTCTTGTACTTGAACCGCAAGGGCATCAAGAAGTGGATGCACAACATCCGAGACGCCTGCCGGGATCACATGGAAGGGTACCACTACCGGTACGAGATCAACGCGGACCCCAGGTTGACGAACCTCAGTTCCAACTCCGACGTCTGAGCGCGGGAGCGCTGGAGGACGGACAGAGCAAGGACAGCTGTGCATGAGATGTAGGCATGAGCTTTCTCCTCTTCCAGGCTTCGTCCCACCTCCGTACTCTTGCCCTGGACACCACCGACCTTGCTGGACAGCTGGGGTGGGGAGCTGCTCCCTTGCTAGGGCAGGTCTCTCCGTGCTGTCTGTGACAGCCAGGCCATGGACAGCTGTGCATCGTGTCTTGCCCTCTTACTTTTCTTGGAACTCAGCACACATTGGAGGGATCTTCCCAGTTCAGCATGAACACCGAGTCCTGGCTGTGTCCGGCTGTTTCTTAGTGCAGCTCAGGGGTGATCAGTGTCCTCATACAGTTAGCATCCAACAGAAGCTGCCTCGACTTTTGTGAGAAAGGTTTCTCGAACTTGATTCATCCATGTCCTTTTATGCTCGTGTCCCTAAATTGTGGGGGAAATGATTGCATTCCATAAGCTGCCCGCAGACCTTAGCAAGCTCTTCAGAGTAACTCCATAGTACATGGGAGCGCCTGCATCCGAGAGCATGCTTACATGTTACTGTTCTGCATATTACAAAAAAAAAAAAAAACGACACTTTGCAGTTTCAGATAACTTCTTTGACAGAGTAAGTTACTTTTTGGGATTGCAGTTTATATAAAACGATACCGAAGTTTTTAAATAAACTGCATTGAGATACAACAGATTAAATTGTTTAAAAAAAAACGACTCAATAAAGATTCCTAAAAGAATTACAGTTGTGTTTGTTCGAGTTTGCTGTTTGAAAAAAGGATAAGGGCCTTGATAGAGAATGGCTTTGGTTCTTATGATAATTAAGGCATTCCTTAACAAATGAATGGAACAATTAGCGTTCTAATTTATAAATAGACTTCAGAGGTCGTTTTAAATTTGTGGTTTTCAGGATTTGAGTCAAGTTCTTGAATATTCATGTAACATACTTCTGATGGTCTCAGAGTCAGTGCTATTCATGAAAGAATTTTGTAAGAGCATTATCAAGTTAGCAAGCTGTGAGTTTTTGTGGGATAAACAGTTCACACTTTGTGACTAATAAAGTTGTCAGAAACAGAACAATATTATTTACTAATTAAAATGTTTCCCGTGAAGTTGTTCTGTGGGTTCTTAGAGCAGAGCATGTAACAAATATAATGCAAATAAATATAAGGAAACAAAGTGTCTTCAAGACAAAAATATTCTAAAATGGAAAATGTATCCATATTAAAAATCAGTCATAAAGTAATTCGTAACTTGAATTGTCTTGCACATTTTTTCCAGCCCATTTAAATTAGAATACACCTGCTTTAACAGAGACCCTGTTATTTTGTTTTAAAAAGTTGATTAGGATATGAATTTTGGAAATCAAGGTAAAACTAAAGGAAAATACACTCTAAGACAAAGTGTCTCAACTAATCATAAGATCTTATATTCAGTTCAGTATTTTAGAATTTGGGGATATATTCAACTCGATATATAATTTTGGAAAACCTTAGTCACATTTGGTTCTTAATAAAAGCGAATGGCTAATCAATTTGTACTATCCATAGACAAAAATTTACTTTTTCAGACCTTTTATTATTTGCCAGTCTAAGCTAAAATTTTATTAATCTTTAAGCTATTATATAATGTAACTTAAATTTAACTGTCATTTATCTTAAGGTGTAGATAAGCTTGCATCAGTAAATATTAGTGTTTCTTTCTCTTCAGGTTGGTTTTCTTCTGTATTGTTTTACACTTAAATAAAATTTGTATCCATATTTTTATAAATGAAGTATTTAGTACTTTAAGCACAAGAAATCTTTGCCCCTTTTTAGTTAAATTCAGACGTTTTCAAAAATAGAGCTATCAATCTTTTAGATATTAGAACATGAAGTTTTCATAGGCTTATTTTATGAGGTATATTGTGGTTTGTACTTCAGATCTTTAACCTGAGGAAAGGTTAAATATATAACACTTAGTATGTTAAAGATGTTAGGTAGATGTTCACTAGAAATGCATAAACTGGCTGCCCCCATTATTTCCTGAGAAGGATGATAATGTTAAGCTGCCAAAAACAGACTATTTATTTTTGGAATAAACTACTGGTGGACTTTCATGGATAAATCTGCAGATAGTGTAAGGAATAACAAATTATATTTAAAGTCTCTGTTCCAAAGAAGAACTTCTTATGTGATTCTATGTTAAAATCTAAACTTGTTTAAGATCGTTGAAGATCCGGAAAAGTACTAGATTCATTAACTTTTTCTCGTCAAATTCACTGAATAGAATCTGTGGTAGAATAGAATCTGTCAAGGGTTTTCACTTAGATGACATTTTTCAAATTGGGATTTTTTTTTAATTTTTAAATTTTGTTGCTTTTTCCTTTGTAGGAAAAATTTGCCATTGTTTTAGGGAACATGTTACTTTTTGCTATTTTGTAATATATGGGGATTTTTAGTCCTTGAAAAGAGTTGCTATTGTGCAGCTATAATATTCTAGGCCTATAAATTTGAGTTCCTTGAAAAGTAGGTGCTATATATATCTGGTTTGTATAAGGGAAGAGAGGAAAAATAAAATAAGAGGTTCATCACTTTAAGTGTACTTGTTTTACACACTATAGTACCATATGCCATATTTTCCTAAAAAAGCAATCCATTTAAAACTTATTTGAATTAATATTACACTTTATTACTGAGCTTCACAAAATTTTATTTTAAAAACATCTTTGTTTATCCTTCACAAGTTCATTTGAACTAATAAATACTTAGATATTAAGCACTCGATAAATTATTTAACTTAAATAGCTGTTAAAATGTCCAATAAATTTTTGGTTAAAGTGATGGACTGGAGATGTAATTCAGGAGTAGAACACTGGCCTTGCATGTGTGAGGCCTTGGGCTTGACCCCTGGCACCACAAAAAGAAATATCTAAAAGGAAAAAGGAAAAAAAGGCAGACATTTGTGGGGGATACAGGTATTTGACCCTGAATCATAATTTCCTCATTTGGAATATCCATTTAATATGTGTCATTAGTATATGAATCATGAGTTTGGCTGTTGTGATTAAATAAGGATGAATAAGACATATTTATATATTGTAGCTGATAATTTTTTCTTCCAGATTAAGAACAAAATAAGGCTTGAAGTATAGTTGATAAAAATTTTTAAGAGAAAGCTACAGAAATTTATACTATTGATAATATGATTTTCTTTTTGTTCAGAAGCAAGGAAAGGCTTTGTGGAACTAATTGAGCAAATTACAAATGGCAAGTTCTTAAAACACTTTTCCTTTTTTTTTTTTTTTTCAAATTTTATTTTTAGCTTTTGGCTCATACCTGACAGTGTTTAGGATTTTACTCCTGGCCGTGTGCTCTGAGACCACTCCTGGTGATGCTCTGGTGACCAAACTGGGTGCCTGAGATCAAACCCAGGCCACCACAGCAAGGCAAGCAAGATGGTACCTACTGTACCATCTTTCCAGCCTGGATCATGATAAATTAAAAAAAAATGATTTGCGTGGTGTGGGAGATCAGACTCATGCCCTCATACATACAAGGTCTTCATGGACACACACATATAGCTGTACCCATAAACTGTATCCACAGCTCTTAAAATGATTTAATTGACAACAAATATGGGTATCCTAATTAGAAGTAACTATATCTTTGTTTTCTTTCTTTTTAATTAAAGGAGAAGTGAAAAGAGAAGGTTTAAATGAATTGTGATTACTTTCTCAGGGATTTTATTTTACTGTCTCTTTTGGCTTTATGTTTTCAATATGGAACTTACTTTCTAGAGAATATTAGATTCTGAAATACTACTCTAGAAATATTTTATATTGTTATTGATTTCCGTTTTAATTTTTCTCTGAAGACCACACTAAAAGAGGTATCATGAAAATTTACAAGGTTCAAAGAAATTTGGCAAGTGTTTTTTTTCCTGCTTCCAAAATACTCAGTTTCTTAACCCCGAGTATAGCACCATTAAGGACAGACACACATTTATTCAATGATATTTGGGTTTCACTTTTTTATACTTGTGCAAGGATTTGCACAACAAGTGAGAGAAAGGAAGTGATATATTTAGATAATGTGTAAAAAAAATATTGACTGTATCTTTTAACAATCATCTAAAATAATTTTGCAGTGCTGCACTAGAAATAATTAGTTTAAGAGAGAGTATTTTCTGTATTTTCCAGAACTTTTTGGCTTCTCTTTAGACTGTTAAAAACAGTTCTTTAAGGATATATTATACAGTTATTCCTCCCCCTATATTTAATTATAGAAACTTTTGATTCAAAAAACAGACTTATTTCATTTTGTTATATCTTAAAATATTTTAGTTCAATTTTTATCATAGATTAAAAAGTGCTAGATTAAAAAATGTATACATGTATATATAATGACACATTTTTTCAAGTTTAAGAATTTTGGAAGGTTTCAAACTCAGTTTCCCATTCTATGAATGAAGTAGCTGATAATTCTTACTTAGGTTACAGAGTTCTAGGGCTCTTTTTGACACATCATGATATCACTGATGACTTTTGAGACCTGTGAAATTCTTACATCTTTTTTTTTTTTTTTGGTTACACCGGGTGATGCACAGGGGTTACTCCTGGCTCATGCACTCAGGAATTACTCCTGGCCTTGCTCAGGGGACCATGTGGGATGCTGGGAATCAAACCCAGGTCGGTCGTGTGCAAAGTAAATGCCCTACCCATTTTGCTATCGCTCCAGCCCCTTTATGTCTATTTTTAAATCAATTGTCACTAGTTTTGGTTTGTTTTAAATTTAACTTCTAAAGTCTTAGAAGTTATTTTTTTCCAGACTCCCGAGTCAAATGATTTTTGTCACAGTAAGCCTCTTTCTTTTGTTTGATTTTTGTTTTGGGGCCATATCTGGGAGTGCTCGGGACTTACGCCTGGCTCTGCATTTAGGGATCACTCCTGGTAGAGCTCACAGACAGAATCAGGGTTAGAGGTGTGCAAGGCAATAGCCTGACTTACTCACTCCTTGGCCC